CCCCCTGCACCCACACAGTCCTAGGGCCCCCCATGGACACCGGGCGTGGCAGGCAGGATAGCTCACCCCCGGGGGTAACCTCTCCTAGCATCCATAACCTGCAACTACGTTAGTTTACCTGGCAATACAGATTTGACAAGTGTGATTGGGCTGGGGATTGAGACGGAGGATTATCCTGTATTCTCTGAGTAGGTTTGATGGGGTCACGACAGTCCTTAACAGAGGGATTGGGAGGGTCAGCATCAGGTCAGACTGATGTAGGTACAGTGGCCTAGGAAATGGCCACCTTGACAAGCCGGGAAAGGAAAGGAAACAGAGTCCTCTGTCTTTCTCCGAGACAGAGATTTCTGCTATAGGGCATGTGCACTTGCCGGAGAGACAGAGACAGAGAGACAGAAGGCAAGAAATCACTCCCTAGGGGGAATGGCCATGCTGCAATCCCTTCTTCTCCATTCCCCTCTTGGGATTTCGGACACACACCCAACACATTCGGTGTGAGTTTTAAGCCACTGGGTCTGGGACTTGTACCATAACTAATTACATGGGAGTCCAGCGACGTAACCATTACGCCATCTGCTGATCCCAGAAAAAAGGTTCCTGAAACCTCCAGAAAAAGAAAATATACACACACACACACACACACACACACACACACACATATATATATATATAACCATTTCAGACATTTCAGACTCATGACATTCAGAACGGTGAGATAATAAACTGGCATTGCAAGGTGTTACGGCACCATCAGAATACTAAACAGTGGGTGCCTTAGCCAAGCCTGGGTCCTCATACCAGGGCACCACTCCCTCTGAATCCTGCCTACTTATTCCCAATGGCCACCCGATCTCAGCGCCGGGCACAGGCACGCTCCCAGTGCTTTCCATGTATCACCTCACTTCACCCCCACAACGGGTCAGTGCAGTTATCCCACTTCAGAGCGGAGGAGCTTGAGTGAGGTTTAGTAGCTCTTCCATCTCCGAGAAGTCGTTCATGCCTTGGACCAACAGGCCGAGCCTAAAGCCTGAATTCGTCATTGGCTCACAAGGAAAAAGGACGATTCTCACCCCCTGTCTTCCTGGTGCTCTACCTCCCTCTTTAGCACATTAAAGCTTTCGGAAGGGTTGAAATTTTAAACAAAATAGACCTTCCCCAATAAATCTAAAAAGGAATTAACTTTAATATAATAAAAATAATGCCTTTAGGTGATACCGCTACAATTAGACTGCACCATAAAAACACACAGTAATAGAAAGTTAAGAATTCCAACCAATAAAATGAATTGGCCTTCAGCTAGTTTCCCTTTCAGAAGTGAACAAACAGCAACAGTGGCAAATACTGCCCACAGGACTCACAGAAAAAGTGACAGAGATGCCTCAAAAGCAAGCCTCCTGCATCCAAGTATGTGATACCCTCCTTGTCCTGGAGGTCTTGAACACCTGTGAGATTGGTGCTTCACTCCAAACGCGAATGTATCCAAAGAGTATTTACACAGAACTTTCTTTACATGTGTTGGGAGAAGAGAATGAAAAACAAATTTCATAACTCCTCACCAGAAGTTCACTACCAAGGGGAGACACCCACACAGAAAACATGATCTCAAGTCAGTCATGTGCTCCCTAAAAGGACAATTTACAAAGTGCTAAGCAAGCCCTCAGAAAAGCAGAACAAACTCTCTGTAGAAATGTGGAAATTGGCTCTAACAGGGTGGAAAGGAGCTCTGCAAGGGCTGAAAAGAGGGAGGTGAATTTTAGAGTCTCTGCAAGTGCAAAGAGTGTGGTAGGAAGGCCATGGTTCCTCAAGAAGGGTCAAGGACCCTCCTGAGACTCCACCTAAATTCATACTTGGGTAGGTCATGAACAACGTCAGGCAGGAAGTTTCTATGAGGAGCCAGCCTGGAATGGGGAAGGTGATACATCCCATTAGAAATGCTGGAACATGCGAAGGACCATCTAACAAAGACAGTCCAGCGTTTGTAAACACAGGCAGGGATTATAAGAATAGAAATTCTAGAGCCAGATTGGGAGCCATCAGTATCCGGGTTCCCAGAATTTCTAAATGAATGGGTGAGATTATTCAGAATAAATAGTAAGGGTAAGAGAAGAAATACACCTAATTCTGGGAAATTTCCAATTATCTGGAAATAGTAAAGTGAAGAAAGATAGAGACTGCGACCCAGCGATCAAAGACGCATGGGAGAACTGGGAGTGTACGTTCACTGCCGCTGCAAGGGCGCTAGAGCTTCATCTCCATTCAGCCCGAACCTGCTGAGGCAGAGTGGGCCTGGGGTGGCCTCAGGACTCGCCCAAGACCTGCAGGAGTCAGGAGTATCTAAAAAGTGCGGAACTGATCAAAATACAGTAGCTGCGACACGAACGCGGGTTAGGGTGGAGTCGGTGAAGAAGTATCTTTCCATTTGAACGGAAGTAGCCAATGAAGAGATGAAATAAAGAGCGAGGGCCTGGAGTAAGAAGAGGAAGAGAGACGGCACAACCAATGAGGTGTACCGAAGAGGGGACAGACGTTCCTGCGGAGAGGGGTAGCTCGACCTGCACCTCCAGCACCTTGCCCTGGATTCACGGAATACCAGACCAGGTCGCAGGGCTCGCCCCTTTTCTTCCCCGGCTCCTCCCACGCACCCTGTCGAGTCTCCGCCCACCCATCGTGAGCAGCAAATCCCGAGGCTGATGTCGTCGGCCACGCCCACACGGCCAGCAAATCACAGAGCAGCGGCATCAGCAAGGAAAAAGCGAGAAAACAAGGTTCCTGCTCTTCCATCTGGCTTCAGATCCCGGGTGGGGTCCGCGCTGTGCTCCTCCCAGCCTTCGGCCTTCGCCCAAATCCATTAGGGCGCGAGTGGCAGCAGAGCGACCCTCAAGTCCCGCATCTATGCTCTGGTCACCCTCGGCATCATTCCAGCTCCTCTCCTGCTTTTCCAACCTCTTGTTTCCGCCCCTATGCTTACTCCCTCCCCTTTCTCCCAGCTTCCTCCGGAGCTCGGGGGAGGAGACGTGCGCACTGGAACCTGAGGGTTTGCGTACCTTCTACGCTGGGTACCTGGCGGGTGGTTATTGCTGCTCCTGCTCCTGCTCCTGCTGCTCCTGCTCCTCCTACTATTCCAGCTTTGTGGAGTCTTCACTTCTGCCTTGATCGAGGGCCAGGCTTCCGGCAGATGACTCAAAGCAGCCCGATTGCACAGGCCTGTGCTTTAATCTCTGCCTCCGAATACCCAAGGCTACGCCCTGGGAGGAGCCCGAGATCACGGGGCATCCTCCTGCCCTGGCTGAGGTCGGTGGCCTCTGAGAATGACGTGGGGGGAGAGGGGCTGGCGCTAAGTCCTCAGGGCGGTGTGGAAGGCTTTGCCCAGTAGAGGTTTGGTTTAGTTTCCTTGTTTAATATGTTCAGTATTAGTATTTGGCGTGTGCACGCAAGTTTTTATTTCAACTAAAATCAAAGCTGGAAGTTAAAGTTGTTGAAGTGAGCGGTTTCCGAACTGTGTGTGTAGGATACCCATCAACACAATTTTGAGACGGATTTCCAATGGAGCCCTAAGAATTTATATGTGA